GCCTGGCTGATCCCTGAGGAGCTGCACACTGTGCTGGTCTCTGATGTACGAGGAAGGAAAAGACAACAGCAATTCTCACCAAGTGCCATTGTTATTACCTCACCTTCCTGTCAGCGGGGCCACCCCCCAGGGCCTCCCCATTGACCCTGGGTGGAGGAGACGCGGGGCCCGCTGGGCGTGTGCCCCCCGCATTAGAACATCATCCTCCTCTTTCTGCCCGAAAGACAGATGCAGGCTGAAAGCACAAGTGAGTTTCATTTTTCTTATGAAAGATGTACTACAGAGGTTTTAATTTTCTTTCGTTTTTGGAGAGGCGAGAGTATTTCACAGCTCAGTAAGACAGGTGTTGTAAAAAGATGTTTGCAGTAAATTTTGATGGGGAGGCCTGACCCCAGACAAAGCTTTCATCGGCTCCCCGGTGAAAGCTGAGCTGGAGGAAGCAGGCTGCGTCAGAACCATAAAGTGCTGCGGGCGAGCGGGAATTCAATGATGTGTTTTAAGAAGTGTCTTTATGGCACTTTGCAAGCCGGTGTTCAGAAAGGTGAGGGCAGGCTGGCGCGGAGGCAGGCTCCTCTTCTGGAGTAGGCCAGGTGGGCAGGGCTGATAACGGCTGGGCTCTGAGAACACAGCAGCGGCGACATTAATCAAGTGGGCTCACCGTCCCCCAAGAGCAGGGTCTTGTCAAAGTCCGGGGCACGAGCGGCAGAGACAAAGAACACATAGGCCCGCGGCGCCCTTCGGCTCGCCCTGGGCCCCTCGCCTCCGTCCGTCCTGGGACGTGCCAAGGCCGCGTCCCCAGATAACAGGTGGGAGAAGGCCCCCAATTCCGGGGTGTGCCTGAAAACTTCCCAGTTCAGCCATCGAACCAGGTAAGTCGCCCACTCCGCGTGAAATGACATGGGGGTCGAGATGCGTCCTTGCCCCGGCCCAGTGCCCACTGAAGCTGGAACATGGGTCCGATCTTGAGCCACCACGGGGAGGAAATGTGCCTCAGGACTCCAGCATCGGGGGCCATGGGAGAGTCAAGTTTACTCAAGTTCAGTGTCGCCATGGCCAGAACAGCAGAGAGAGGAGATGGGCCCAAGGGGGCCGCTGCAGGCCCTCAGTACACTGTGCGGGCCACTGTGTACAAAATGGTTTTGATGTGATCCAGGCACAATGTACCAAACCCACAAATCAGCTGTTGTTGGTCCTATTTCACAGATGAGAAAACTGAGGCTCAGGAAGCATGGAAGCAGCGGTGCTGGGGCTTGCCCGTGTCTGATGATGGCACCGATGCCCGTTCTCCTTTAGCACACAGCTCTGCCCCAACTGCAGTCAGGAGGACCCGTGGCCCCTCTCCTGGAGGCCAGCCCCTGCACACGGTGACACAGCCCTCGGATGTCCCTGGTGCCTCACCTTCACTCCCTTTACAACCAACTGCCATTACAGCACAATGTTTCTACAATTCTCGGCTGAAAAGGCACGGCCTGAGGGAATGATGAGGGAATTAGAGAAATTAACCCTGGCCAATGTAATCAGATACTGAACAGGTCCCCCCAAAAGACTGGGTGTCTCCTACTCAGGAAGGTCCAGCCTGATGCTATGTACTCCCCTAGAGGAGGAATGGGCCCACACAAGCGGGAAGCCCGCTTGGAGGTGAGGAAAAGGAATGCCCAGAGTGAGGCCGAATTTGGCCACCTGTCCAGAGGACGCACTGGGCGGTGGGACAGGGCATCCTGCATGCGGGGCCCAGAGAAGCCATGCTACGCTGCATAAAGACGGAAGTACTGCGCAAGCGCCCCGGGAAGGGACCCCTTGGTGGGTAGGTCCACCCCTGGCAGAGAAGCTTGCACAGCCTTCCCAGCGCAGTGGGATCGGCTTCCAAAATCATTCAGCCAGCTCCCCAGCTGGGAACACGTGCTGCTGAGCAAACCGAAGACTAGCTACAATTTGACTTCCACATGGCTTTTCCATGGGGAGAGGAGGCCCTACCCAGGCACGTGAGAGTTTCCCGACCTCCTGCTCTAATTCCCCACCTTAAACTGCACATCAGCTTCTGACCTATACATTGGTATCTTGTGAGTTTGGTCATTATGCGTCAGACTTTGAGAGAAGATCATCTCAGGCACAGACGGGGCGTTTGGAGGCCTATGTAGATATGTCCCCAAGAGAAGGGAGAGCACGTGTCCATCAAAGACATCCCTGATGCTCAGAGCAGCTTTATTCCCAACAGTCCCACACCAGAAACCCAAATGCCCATCAACAGGGGAACGGGCATGCAAACTGTGACACAGCCACACCGTGGAATATTATACAGCAATAAAAAAGAACAAATGGTTGACACACCCGATTATGTGGACGCATCACAGATATTAAGCAAAAGGTGCTGACAGCCTGCTTGCCTCTGTCCCTATGAAGTTTGAGAAGAAATGAACAGAAAAGTAACCAGCTTTAAAGGGTACTGATTGGAAAGGGTCTCAAAGGAACCTTCCAGGGTGATGGCAATGTTCCACCTATTGATCAGGGTGGAGAGGTGCAGCTGGGTGCTTACATGCAAACACTGACTGTACACTGAAAGTCTGTACATGCGGTGTACTTCACCGTAACTCTGCCCCAAGTATAAACTGAAGGTAATAAAGAAAAGGTATGGGGTCTTCAAGAACCAAAGCTGGGACCCCAATGAGAGGCAGGGTCCAGCTGAGGCAGCTCCACCCAGTGTGGTGGTCTTAAAAGTATACCCCTAATTCTTTGATGATCTCCCCTTCCAAAGGTGGAGCTTAATTTCCCTCCCTTGGAGGGTGGGCTGGCCTCCACGACTTGATTCTAAGCCCTAGGACAATGCAGGAGAGACGCTGTGAGGCCTGGAAAACAAGGTCACAGAAAGGCGCTGTGGCTTCCGGTTTGGTCCTCCTCACGGTCCCTCTCTTGGGCCACCGGCTCTGGGGGAGGCCAGTGGTTGTGTCGTGAGGATAGCCAGGCAGTCCTGTGGAGGCCGCCCCGCGGTGAAGGACTGAGGCCTCTAGCCAACGGCCGTTTCATGTGAGAGGGCCGCCTGGGAACGGCTCACCCCAGGCCCAAACAAGTCCCCAGATCACCCAGGACCTCTGAGCCAGAACCACGCAGCTAAGCCACACCCAGGCCCCTGGGCCTCAGAGACTTTGAGATGTTTGCTGTTTTCACGCCACTGGGCTCCTGGGGTAATTCGTCACCCAGTAGTAATCGATAACTAAAACACGTGGAGGTCTGTCTCACCTCCAACAAGCTGCCATCTGGTACCCGCTGGGGGCTTCGCGCCGGGTGCTGGGGCACCTGGGACCAAGCCGCCCTCCTCACACGCCCCTGACTGGACCCTGGAGCTCAGGCGGCCCCGTCTGCCATGGTTTCTTCATAGCCCTGACCTTTCCCTGGCACTGTCCCACTGAATGACCACATTCGCCGCCCAGTTTCCTCCCCATAGAGTAGAAGCTCTGTGAGGACAGGGTCCTTCCCTGTCTCGCTCACAGCAGAGTCCCCGGCACCAGCCAAGGCCAGCCACGTAGAAAGCTCTCAATAAAAGTGGACTGACTGCATGAACGGGAACCCCAGCTCCAAGCAGAGGGGCAGGCAGCGGCCTGGGAATCGCTGCTTCATGAGATCCGGAAGTTTTCAGCAGCACCCAGGAATGGGGGGTGGCGGGGCGCTGGGTCCTAGAAATTGAGGCAGATCCGGAGCTGGTGCCTGGGCCCCTGCCCCCCAGCTCTGTCCCACCGTCCTGGGTCACTGTTCACTGACAGAGAAGGAGAAGCAGGGCTCCCTGTGGGGCAGCCCCCGCCAGGGGTGTCTGCCAGCCGGGCTCCCCGCCCTGAGCCCTGACCGGTGTTTTTCTGCCCAGGGTTGACGGCCTAAGCACTGCGTGTGCTCACGGAGCAAAGTCAAGCGCTTCCTGCGGGCGCTTTAAGATCCCAGTGCAGGCCACGCAATACATGACGGTGTTAAGCCATCTTGAACTCTACCTCCAATCCCGGGAGGATGCCTTCCCCACACCCTCAACCACCACCCGCCCAAGGCCTGCCTTCTCAGCGCCATTGGCCAAAGCCACTCCACAGGCGGGTGCAGCCAATGAGCTGCTTTCCCTGCCCTTTTGAAAGGGGATCCAGCCGGGAATGGTCGCTAGGGCCCAGGGAGCAGACCCTGAAGGGCAGGGGCAGCTGGAACAGCTCCCCAGGCTATTTGGGGCTCTGCAGGTCAGGCTGCCTCCCCGCTGGCTCTGTGAGGGGAGGGAGGAGGGGCATGCCTGTCCTGCAGGGGCGAGGTCACTAGTCTCACAGACACAATGCCCCATCTCCGCCCTGCTCCCCAGCCGCCCAGCCCTGCGTCCCCCAGGAATGGGGCAGGGACTGCTTACAAGTGGCAGGAGGCCAGTGCTGAGGGCAAAAGGGCACCCCATCACATGCCCAGAGAGGCAGGCCCTCGAGGAAGGAGGGTGGAGGTGGGACAGGCCCGCCCAGGGAGGCCCCTCCTTGGGGTTATCTGATCCCACCAGGTGGGACTCCAGTCAGAGAGCTTTCCCCTCAGCCCATTCCCTGCCACTGTGCCTAAAATGCCACCACTCGAGAAACAATACTATGCAAAGCATTGGAAGTTCAGGAAGTTAATGTCAGCTCTGCCACACACTCCCAAGTGACCTTGGGCTATTCGTCTAAAGTACTGGGCCTCAGTTTCCTGCCAGCACAATAGAGCAAGGTGGTAGGTCCTGGCCAATCTCCAGGGTTGCCCTGTGGCCCATTCCAGTGGGGTAAGGCCAGCTTCTTCACACGGCCCCTGACAGGGAACCTGGACCTGGTCTGGGGTGAACGGGTTTGAGGGGCTGGGAACACGGGGGGCGTGGCTGTGAATGGGGGAGTCCATACCAGGGCATAGGGAGCCTCGACCTCCCCAGGTCTCTCAGGTGGAAGAGAATGCCGATGGGGAGCCGTCCAGCCTCGGAAGGCCCACGTGGGGCCGCCCTCGCCCCTCGCCCCGCTTCTGCTTACACTTACATTTTGCCTCCTTCCAGTCGGTGGAGGTGTTCAGGTCCACCTTCGCCGCCATGGCCAGGGGGGCCCAGGTGCGCACCCCCGCTCTCCGCCCCACCGCCGCCGCCCCCCAAGCCCCAACTCCCGCTGGGGCCCGCGCGCAGGGGCCGTAGGCGCCCAGGGAGGCCAGGGGACCGCACGCACTGCTGCGGGTCCGCGTGGCACCCACTGAGGGGCCTGGCCGGGGGCGCAGGGCGCCAAGCAGCTGCCCCGCCACACGCAGCTGTGCCAAGCCGCCGGACACTCGGCCCTGCAGAGACATGAGCGGGCGGCGCGGAGCGGCTCCCCGCCCACTTGAACTCTAATTACGGTGCTCGGGAGAGTCTCTCCCTATTTACTCCGGAACCGGGTGGCGCGTGCCAGCCAGCGGCGACCTGCTCCAAGCCCGCGGACCGCGCGGCCAGAAGAACCCAGGCGCACCGCTGAGCACCCTGGAACTTGTAGTCCCGGCCACCGGATGGGTGTCCGCACTCAGATACAAACTACGTACGCACCGCGCCCACCGCGCCCACCCCGCCCGGCCCTAGTCTACTTCGCGCCGCGCTTCGCGCAGCGCCGAAGCTCCCTTTCTCTCCTCATTTGGGCTCTTGGAGGGTCGCGCGGCCGCGTGTCCCCTCCCTCGGGGCGGGCCCGGCCGCCGCTAACTTTCCGGTCCGTGGAGCCTTCTGCCCTCTGCCCTGGTTCTTGGTACCGAACTGTGAGAGCCGGGCATGGCCCTCGCGGTGCGGAACATTTTGCTTCCAGGGGCCCCCGTTGATCTCCCTGCGGATGACCTGCGCTGCACCCCATCCCTGGTGACAAGTGACAGCTTGCCCGAACGGGTACGTCCGGTTCGGGGACTTCCCCCACGCTGATGAGCGGCCGCCTCTTAGCCCCTGGGGCGGGCAGGTGCGCGAATGGAACCCAGTCCAGAGCAGCCCAGGGGTGCTGGGTGGACGGGGTGGAATTTGAAGGTCCAAAACTTGAGTTCTATGTGTCATTTTCCGGTGGAAGAATAGGGGTGATTTTTTCTTTATATTTTCTCTAGGATTTTACGAAGCCTATGAAGATGGATTTTTAAAAAAGATTTTATGTATTTACTTTTTAGAGAGAGGGGAAAGGATGAAGAAAGGGAAAGAAACATCAGTGTGCAAGAGATACATCTATCGCTGTCCTTCGCACGCCCCCAACCCGGGAGCCTGGCCTGCAACCCGGGCAGAAGCTGGTGACCTTTTGGTTTGCAGGCCAGCGCTCAATCCACTGAGCCACACCAGCCAGGGCTAAAGATGGATTTTTAATATAAATACTTCCATATCTTTCTATACCATTAATACTACTTGGTAAGTAGAATCGTGAATATTTTTATAAGCTCAGGAAAAGGAGCTTCATTTCCACAGAAGGGCCCAGTACCAGCTTTGCCACCCCGGGGTACCCTGGCCCCTTGCAGCGTGCTTCCTGAGACGTAAATGATGAATTCAGCATTCGGGTCTGGCTGGTTGCAGACTTGCCCCAATGCTTAGGCCTCTGGCACTGAGTGTGGCAGTGACCTGTCAGTGGGGAAGGTCACGGGAGCTGCCTGTGAGTGCAGCTGGCAGCACCGCCATGCCCGAGAGAGGATTATTGGCACACGCGCCGGCAGGGAGGACGATGGTGATCGGACCTGGGAGAGAGTGGAGAGAGGGGACGATTGGAAGCGAGGGGCCAGGAAGGAAGGACCAGGGGCCCGCAACCTTCCAGGACCACCAGCAAGGCCTGTGCCCTCTCCCAGGACGGTCACTGAGATGAGTTCAGGATGTGCCAGTCTGGCTTCCATGCCCAAGGCCCCCTCTCCACTTGCCACTTCTCTGATAACTCAACAGTGCAAGAAGGGCCTTGCCAACTGCAGCCTGTACAACAGCCATTTACAGGACGCTAGGCACCAGCTGGCACAGAGCTGATCAGCACTCTGTCCGTTGCCCCTGCCTCCATTAATCTGTTACGCACCCCGACTGCCTGCCAGAGGAGGCAGCTCTGCCCCGCGGCACAGGGGAGTGACCCAGACTGGCCCAAGGTCAACACAGCTTGTGAGGGCGGAGCCCAGACTTCAGTACAGGTTTTTTGGTTCCCATCTGTGGTCTGGAAAGTGATTACGCAGATGTCACTGATTGAGGAAATGAAGCATGTGGGTGACCCTGTGTATTTGTTTTCTATTGCTGCTGTAACTAGTTATTGCGAATTCAGCAGCTTGAACAACACAGATTTATCTTGAAGGTCTGTAGAAGTCTGGCATGGGTCTCAGCGGGCTAAAATCAAGGTCTGAGCAGGGCTGTGTTCCTTTCTGAAGCTTCTTTGCCTTTTCCAACCTCAGAGACCACCCGCATTCCTTGGCTTGCAGCCCGTTTCCTCCGGCTTCAAACCAAGCGATGGCACCTCTCTGACCATTCTCCCGTGGTGGCCTGCCCCGCTGCCTCTCTTCTGCTTCTTTCTTTCATTTTCAAGGACACTTGTGATTATGTGAGGCCCATCAGGATAACCGATGACAATCTTCCTTTTGAAAGTCTGACGAATCCCATCTGCAACTCTAATTCCCCTTTGCCATATAGTATAACATATTCACAGGCTCCAGGGATTAGAATGTGGACATCTTGGGGGGCAATTATTCTGTCTAATACACCCTTCCTTGCTGTGGGGAGGAGGACACAGCAAGAGGGACAGTCTAGCCATAGAGTCTCAGAGCCCAATCAGGAGGCTGACTTCCACACTGAGCCTGAAATCCACATCCCCCGCAGCCAGACCGTTCACGTGCCCAGACATGCCGGCCGTCTGAACCAGTCCCTTTCTTCTTGCTGGGACTCAGCTCTGTTCTCATGTGGCAGCCAGGATAGAGAAGGCCCCGGCTCACAGCCCTCCATCGTCTGGTCTGAGAGGCCTGGCCACACGCCTGCATGGATGTGGGCAGGGCCATGGCTTGCACTGGGCCAGACAGGACCTCCTCGTAGGGTTTCAACTGGACCTTGTGGAAAAGGTAAAATTTTGCCAGGTACCAAAGGTGTGTGTTGGGGGGGGCCAGTGGGTGTTCCAGGCCAAGGGACCCGCAGAAGCACAGGCGTGGACGCCTGTGGAACGCCAGCTCTCCCAGTGGGGCCTGAGCATCGGGCATCGTCAGTGGAGGATTTTTAATACTGGAGAGGGAGGGGCTTTTCCGCAGAGGAAATCTACCTCCTGCTGCTTGTGTTTAAATTAACACTATGTTTATTAAACTTATAAATTAAAAAAAGAACTAGTTTTTCTTGAACATCCAAGTGCAACTTGCAAATCTAGTGTTCTATTTATACATCTACTAATTTTTGTATAAAAATAAGAACTACTTTCGCTTTTTCTTTGATGAATATTTAATTAACTCACAGGTTCAACAGATTAAATTCTAAAAATGAATGCCAATTACAAACTTAGGTAATTAAATTCCCTAATAGATTTAAACTACATTTTACAGAGTTGAAATAGCTATTCCTCTCAAACTCTCAACAGAAGAGACGCATCTAAGATATATATTTTTCTTTTTTGGTCTTTTTTCCTTTACAAAGAGGGAGGGCATTGGGGGGGGAGGGGGCCCTCCCAAGCCAAGCATATTTTTTCTAATCAGTTAAACAATTCTTATACCCTAATGGATTAAACTTGTAAATACAGTAAATCAGTTCTTTTAAATGTTCAAATACTGTTTGTGAATTTAGATCCTTTTATATTGTCTAATTTGTCTAGTACTGTGTAATAAACTTCTGAAAACTTACAGACTTAAAGTTAACAACTAGCATGCTGAGTCAGCAGCGTGGGCTGGCATTCACTGGAAGGTTGTCTGCCGGTCTTGCCTGGTCCCTCCCGCGGCTGCAGTCACCTGACAACCCGGCTGGGTCTGGGGACCCAGGACGGCCTCACTCACTTGACTAGCAGCTGATGCTGGCTGTCAGCAAGGCCCCTCAGGTCTGCTCTCTGGGGCTTCTCATCCTCCCATGGGCGAGACTGGGCATTTTCATGGCGTCATGGTCTCTAGGCCCTGCTCCGTGAGGGTGACAGCAGAGGCTGTAATGCCCCTTGAAGCCTGACTCTGAAGTCACACTATGTTACCTCCACTACATCTGGCCAATCAATGCAGCTTGCAAAGCCAGCCGTACCCAAGGGAATGGAGCTATAGACTCCCTGTTAATGGGAGGAGCAGCCAAATCGCTTCTCAAAAGGTGGACATCCAGGAGGAGTTATTACAGCCATCATTGCAGACGGCCTACCATTCATATCCCTCTAATTAAAACCACAAAGCAGCCCTGGTGTGTGTGGCTCAGTGGATTGAGTGCCAGACTGCAAACCAAAGAATTGCCGGTTCGAGTCCCCATCAGGGCACATGTCTGGGTTGTGGGCCAGGTCCCCAGTAGGGGGTGCACGAGAGGCAACCACACATTGAGGTTCCTCTCCCTCCCTCTCTCTATAAATAAAATCTTTAAAAAATAAATAAATAAATAAAACTACAAACCAAATTGCGCAGCTTGACTCAAGTTTTTCAAAACCTTAAATAAACACTCAGATTCAGGGTTGGCTTTGCTGGCTTCCATACCTTTCAGGGCTGCAAAGCCACCCAGAGGAGCAGATCCACCGTCTCAGCAGGTACAGTGAAGATTCCCTGCTACTGGTCTGAGGTTTAAGATGAGAGCAGGACCCAGGAAAATTCTGCCAAATCTAAAGGGAAACCCACCCCTGCTCCACAGCCTATCCCTTTACCCAGGAGCTCAACGTTCGAGCCCAATGCATCACCGTTTCCTGAGAGTCGTTCAAGTCTCAGCTCTGCCCGTTTCACCTGCCACTTTCCTCTTTTTCCTGCCTCACTCGGGTAGATGAGCCCCTGAACTTCCCGGGCCCCCCGACCTCTTGGCTGCGTGATTCCAATTTGGCAGGTTGTAATGCTCTCTTCATATTTTACTTTACCACCGGCCTGCGTTTCATTTTATCATCTATTTCATTGGCCACTGCTGTATAGTCGCTATTTTGAGAGACGTGAAAGGAAAGGATGGATTATGAGGTATTAAATGTCTGGAGCATGTAGCTACATATATCACGGGCCTCTGGCGAGGATGCCCTGCCCCAATTCCTTGCTTAGAGTAACGGTCAGTGGCCCAGAGAGGGCCACCCGCCTGTCCCTGGGAAGGACCTCAGCGGGCCCTTGAGCTGGCTGGGCGAGGGTATCCGCTGCCCCTCTGCTGACTTCAGAGAAGGACTAGAAGGAGGTGAATGCTCAGGGGACATTTGGCTTAAAGTGCACAAAAACCTCAAATAGTAATGTGTGTTGTAACAAGTTTTAACAACATAATTAAAAGTGAAAGCCCCTGTTAAAGGCCGAATTGTATCCCCCCGCAAATTCGTGTGCTGAAGCCCCAGCCCTC